GAGAAAAATATACCGGAAGCCGGAGTTTGCTGGACCGTGATTCGAACCCGGGACCTTTCGCTATCCGGGTGACTGCTCTTACCAATGAGCTACCCAGATTCCCTACCTCAGTACATTCTCTCTCTTCTTCTTAGTAGTTATTGGTTTGTCAATATGACTCGTATTATCTCAGTTCACTTTATATCTTACAATTGTATGTCACGTTAATTTACGATAAATGATTGATTGTTAGAGCAAATGAGGAGAACACGGAATATTTTACAAATTTTTTTAATCGATTGCAAGTGTTATGCAGGATTCACACCGATGTCCGACGTGCGGCGTCCGATATCCAATAGGAGAATAGATTGGATATCGGATATCGGACGCGGTGTGAATCCTGCATTACTTTATGGATATATATTTTTATTTCAATGTATTTCGCAAGAATTTTTAGCATGCATTTTCATGCTTCTGACGTCAATAAAAAGAGATAGACAACGCAAGAAGCCAGAAATCTTAAGATATTCATAAAAATTTAGAATTATTTAGCATCATCTTTACTACAATACTCAATAGGTACCAAAATCAAATATTCAATCCAATTGCTTATATAAAATTATTTTTTATCGAAAAAATTCAAGAACGAATTTTCGAATGGGTTGTAAACAACGCAGCTTGCCGAGATTGTTAATTTTTTATTAATCTGTATGATAATTGTAAATTTTGTTTGTAGCATTCATTTCTGTCGACTTTAGGAGGTCGAGATATTACAAGCAAAACAAATGAAATTTTGAAACAGTTGTTTTCAGATGAATTGTCTCAAAAGTATAGTTTTTATGGGAAACGATTACCAAAGAAACCTTTTCATTCTTTATTGATAAAAGATATTATAATAGGTAAAATTTTTTTTTCTTTGTCGTACATCTTTTGTATTTTTATTCTTATCTTTTATTTTATTGTACATAACATAGTAAATGTATAATATTGAGAAATGTTTAAAAAGTTTTTAAACGTATCAAAATTCTTTCATTACTTCAATTTTTCAGATGCAGTGAAATGTACAACACCAGGTGCTAACAATCAGGCCATCGAGGACTCAATAAAAGTCTGGTTAAAACACGCTCCTCAACGTTTTAAAAAAATAAACAACAATTAGTTGCAGCATGTCTTTAATGTCATATAGAAAAGGTTGCATTGGGAAACGACAAACATATCGAAGAATTGCCAATGAAAAGGTAAAATTATTTAAAGACTTGATTGTGTCGAATGTCCAACAATCTAATAAAGAGAAAAACGTTAAGGCTGATAAAATACGAAGAGATTATAACGTTAGCGAAGAAAAAATATATGTCGCTTCTGACGACGAGAATAATACTTGTGATAATGAGCATACCGAAAATCAGTCTTCTTTAGATTTAAGTTGCGAATTAGATAACGTTGTTAATATAAAAGATAAAGACACACCTGATTTGAATCTTCGTAACTTCATAAATCACTGGGCTATTAAGCACAATATAACTCATTCCACCTTAACAGATCTTTTACATTTTATGCATAATCTTCACCCAGAATTGCCCTTAAACTCTAAAACTTTGTTACAAACTCCACTATCTATTAACAAAAAGAAATTAGATACCGGAGAATACTGCCATATTAGTTTAACGCGAAATTTAGAATATATATCTAAATTTTATGTTGGGACAACGATAGAACTAAGTTTCAACATCAATGGACTTCCTTTATTTAATAGCATAAAGAACCATTTATGGCCTATTTTAGGACTTGTTAAAAATATGAAAATGCCTCCATTTTCCAAGCCATAGGAGTTTTTTATGGTCAGTCTAAACCATTTCCCTTACAATTATATCTCGCAGATTTTATAGAAGAACTTTCTTTTTTGTTAAAGAATGGACTTAGAGTTAATGACAGATATTTTAACATTAAAATTCACAGTTTCATATGCGATGCTCCTGCTCGGGCTTATGTAAAACAAATAAAAAATCATAATGGATATTCTTGTTGTGAGAAATGTGAAAAGAGTGGTACATATTTTGAAGGACGTATTATTTTAAGAAGTACTAATGCAAGAAGAAGAATAGATGAGTCATTTGTTTTACAACGTGATGAAGATCATCATATTGGCATTTCGCCCCTACTTGAAGTAAAATGTGGAATGGTTACACAGTTCCCAACTGATTATATGCATGCGGTGTGTTTAGGTGTTACAAAAAAACTACTACATACTTGGATAAGTGGTAAACGTAACGTAAAGTTATGCTATCGTTCAATTGATTCAATATCGAATAAATTAATGGAATTTTGTTCATTTATACCTTCTGAGATTAATAGAAAATCACGAAGCTTAACAGAATTATCTAGATGGAAAGCATCAGAATTACGAAATTTTTTAGTTTATTTGGA